AACTGAGTATACATCAAAACCTGTCTAATCTAAACATCATATGAACTGAGAATACATCAAAACCTGTCTAATCCGAACATCATATGAACTGAGAATACATCAAAACCTGTCTAATCCAAACATCATATGAACTGAGTATAAATCAAAACCTGTCTAACCCAAACATCATATGAACTGAGTATAAATCAAAACCTGTCTAATCCGAATATCATATGAACTGAGTATACATCAAAACCTGTCTAACCCAAACATCATATGAACTGAGAATACATCAAAACCTGTCTAAGCCGAACATCATATAAACTGAGAATACATCAAAACCTGTCTAATCTGAACATTATATGAACTGAGAATACATCAAAACCTGTCTAAGCCGAACATCATATAAACTGAGAATACATCAAAACCTGTCTAATCTGAACATTATATGAACTGAGTATAAATCAAAACCTGTCTAAGCCGAACATCATATAAACTGAGAATACATCAAAACCTGTCTAATCCAAACATCATATGAACTGAGAATACATCAAAACTAGTACCGGTAAGAAGGATTTTCAAATGTACAATTTTATTGAAAGTGACTATGAAAAGCTGTCTTGTTTAAATTACAAAACATATCCCATAACACATACCTGCTTTTAAAACACACAATCCAAGCGGCACATGTCCCTTTAAGCTGTCTTTTATTCCAATCACAGCACATTCTGCCAAGTCAGAATGTTCTAGCATTGCCTAGAAGTATAAACATGAAATGAGTAAGGAGTAAAGAGTGTATCCAAATAAGCAGCATTGAGTTCAATTATACAGTGTAGGGTAAAGTACAGAGATTTTAATCCCTGCTGTATATTACTGTTTTTGTTTTTGAATCAAAGCAAAACAAATATATTAAACAAATATATGTGTCTTTGCTAAAGTTAGTAGTAAAATTCAATTTCAGAAGTTATTGATTTTCTAATATTGAAGTAAATGTATTAAGGCACGCTACCTCTTCCAATGCACCACTTGATAACCTATGACCTGCCACATTGATGACATCATCAGCTCGTGACATCACAGCTATGTAGCCATCTTTATCACAAGTACCAGCATCCATTGTGTCATAATATTTCTACATGATAAGAATAGTATAGCAATTGTGACAGCAAATAAGCCTGCATGCACCAAAAGGCAGTGATCATACAAATGTCAGAATGAATATGCACGTATATACATTGTATATTGACACAAAATTTAAGCAATTTCAAAGATCCATATGGTTTGCAATTTGCAAATAACATGTAATTCATACTCCTGCAGTTTGAAGTGCCTTATACTGAACATTTACTAAAATTTTGTTTTTTTGGCTCCAAAATTAGGGTTCATTTCAAGAAATATTGAAGAATATAATAATAAAAAAGTGCAGACAAATTCGGGAAAGAAATTTTGGTTGTGAAAATGTTAAATGGTGGTAGGATAGTAACATCAGTAAGTTAGAAAATCACAAAGAATCATCTTTTTTTTTTATTTCAAATGATCAGAATTGGCATAATAGTGTAAATCAAGGCATTAGTGTGTAACAAAACAAAATTGGGACATGAATCAAACACACCCATATATTCTATGTTATATCATCAATAGTAACACATTCATGATAATTGGATTTGGGGACTGTGGAAATATAGATGGAATAATTATTGCACAATATTTTCTATAAGACTAACATCAGCAGGTACAGTTGTACTTGTGATTACCAAGACAATTGTTCTATTGCCATAGTAATTATAAATAGTTTAGATTAACCTACCCTGTCTTTGGTGAAATAAAGGTCTGCAAACTTTTGGTCATTCTCCCACAATGTGGACATGAAACCAGGTGGTAGTGGTAACCTAGGAAACACAAAGTAAACTAACATTTTGGATGGAAGGAAAATAAAATATGAAAAGAAAAATTGGACAAATAAAATGGGAGAGCAAAAAAATTAAAAAATAAATAATGAAAACAACAAACATGTGATTAATTTAGTTTTTCACTTTCCAATTTCTCAAATTGGCAAAGTTTGCAAAAAAAAAAGAAAGCTTGTACATGTCACAGGGTTGTGTGATACAAGATAAACATTGCTAAGTAAACAAGTCATTGTCAATGACACGTCCCCGTTCCGTTCATATTTGAGTGACATATACATTCAAAGCAGATCATGACCGAAATGCACCTGCATATGTACACATTGTACTAAATCTGAACAAAATCCATCCATGCATGACTGAGATCCGGTTCCGGAATTGTGAAAATACGTGATTTTGATGCATTTTCGGCCTTAAAATGGCCATCATTCAGCTATTGTTAAGCGGATCATGAAACAAATGCACATATCTATTTGTGACATGATGTACCATGTGTGTGTGAAGTTTGAACTTGATCAATCCAGACATGTCTTGGATACGGATCCAGAACTGAATTCTTTAAAACAAAATGGCCGCCAGTCGGCCATTTCGAACTTGATCCAAAAAAAAAATGACGTGCATCAAGGTCCTATTATGTTTAATGTATGCACCAAATTTGAACGAAATCCGTCCATGCATAAATGAGATCCGGGTCCGGAATGGTGAAAATGTGCGATTTCAATGCATTTTCAGCCTTAAAGCGGCCCCCATTTGGCTATCGTTAATGGGATCATGAAACAAATGCACATACATATTTGTGACATGATGTACCTTGTGTGTGTGAAGTTTGAACTTGATCAATCCAGACATGTCTCGGATACGGATCCAGAACTGAATTCTTTAAAACAAAATGGCCGCCAGTCGTCCATTTCGAACTTGATCCGGAAAAAAAAATGACGTGCATCAAGGTCCTATTATGTTTAATGTATGTACCAAATTTGAACAAAATTTGTCCATGCATAACTGAGATCCGGGCCCGGAATGGTGAAAATGTGCGATTTTGATGCATTTTCGGCCTTAAAATGGCCGCTATTCGGCTATCGTTAATCGGATCATGAAAAAAATGCATGTGCATATGTCCCATATAATGTGTGATGTATGAGTGAAGTTTGAACTTAATCGGTCTATGCATGTTCGAGATACAGGTGATCACGGACGCACGCACGCACGGACGGATGCACGGACGCACACTGGGCAAAACATAAGTCCCCGTTTTCGGACTACATTCGAACGGGGACTAATTAATGTATACTCACTTGACAACAATCTGTCCAAGTTCAGCAGGAGCAGTTTCATGACCCTCATTATTGAGAACTTTTACTGAGAATAACAAAGTTATCAATTTAATATATTGATTGATTATGACAGTTATCGATACTTATTATAAACACACTGTTATAGTTGCACACACTGTTCAATGTTCTCATCTCCACACACTGTCAGTGTTGTACACACTGTTCAATGTTCTCATCTCCACACACTGTCAGAGTTGAACACACTGTTCAATGTTCTCATCTCTACACACTGTCAGAGTTGTACACACTGTTCAATGTTCTCATCTCCACACACTGTCAGAGTTGTACACACTGTTCAATGTTCTCATCTCCACACACCGTCAGAGTTTACACTGTTCAATGTTCACATCAGCACACACTATCAGAGTTTACACACTGTTCAATGTTCTCATCTCCACACACTATCAGAGTTTACACACTGTTCAATGTTCACATCTGCACATACTGTCAGAGTTTACACACTGTTCAATGTTGACATCAGCACACACTATCAGAGTTTACACACTGTTCAATGTTCTCATCTTCACACACTGTCAGAGTTTACACACTGTTCAATGTTCACATCTGCACACACTGTCAGAGTTTACACACTGTTCAATGTTCACATCAGCATACACTATCAGAGTTTACACACTGTTCAATGTTCACATCAGCACACACTATCAGAGTTTACACACTGTTCAATGTTCACATCTGCACACACTATCAGAGTTTACACACTGTTCAATGTTCACATCTGCACACACACTGTCAGAGTT